TATGATCACAATTTTCCTAAAAAGGTGAGCCAGCAAATCTTTTCTATTTCTGAGACTTATAGCCACCACAATAAAAAAAAAAAAGGAAGACTGTTTAGCTTTGAGTCTTGTATTTTCTCTGTGAACTTTAACACTTTAGCTACATACCTCATAGGATTTTTGCCCTCACTCTTTTCTGCTGGCCGTAATGAAGTGAAGGCTAACAAAGATCATTCATCTGTTACCATTCCTCTTAATAATCCCAGCTTAGGTTATAAATCTTATTTTAAAAAATATCTGAAGCTCTTATTTGATTATAGGAGCTGTTGGCCAGCTAACTCCTGCAGATATTCATCTTCTGCTGCTAAAGAATTATTTTTCATGAAGGCTGACATTTATACGGAATGCACAATATGCCATTAAATTTGATGAATGAAATCTTCCTTTACTGATACGGTTTTCCATGCCTTGACATATAATCCCAGTTTTTTTTTAAATGTTTCAGTTGCCAGAAGTGTTCAACCATGACCATGATTTATTGGTAACATTACCTGGGATTTAATTAATCTATATCTCTTCTTGCCAGTTCTTTTTTCTTTCTACCCCTGCCTTCTAAAGAGTATTCTTATAAAGACTGGATGGAACCTGTCATTGCTTCAACGATATATCAATGTGTGTGTATGTGTGTGTGTGTGTGTGTGTGTTCATGCACACACACACCAACTAGCAAACCTGCTTCTCGGACCTGGTATTTCTTAAGTTTACTACACAGAGAATCATAGTACAGGTAGTCCTTGACTTAACGACCAAAATTAAGCCCAAAATTTCTGTTGCTAAGCGAGACAGTTGTTAAGTGAGTCTTGCCCCATTTTAAGAACTTTCTTGCCACAGTTGTTAAGTGAATCACTGCAGTTGATTTTGATCACATAACCATGGGGATGCTGCAATGGCTATAAGTGTGAAAAACTGTCATGTTGCTTTTTTTTCAGTGTCACTGTAACTTTGAATAGTCACTAAACAAATGGGTGTAAGTAGGGCGGGGGTCTTCAAACTTGGCAACTTTAAGACTTGTGGACTTCAACTCCCAGAATTCCTCAGCCAGCCAAAGCTGAAGAAGCTTCTTGGATGAGAAGCAAAACGTCTTCAAAGAAAAACAAGACAGTCCAGTTGCCTCTTGAAAAAGCACCTTTGAGATTAAATGGGTTTGTCCTCTTGGTTGTGCATGATATTCTAGGAGTCTTTAACACCAGAGTTGAAAGACACCAATACTGTCCCTATCCTGCTTCTTCAAAGTAATATGTGTTTCTGGTTGAAGTCAGTCATGGTGATAATTTTGGGAAGGGTTTTGACAGATGCAATCAAGGATTTGGGGGATTGTTAATACTATCTGAGATAGATCATAATTCTATGATTTTGATTATATTTTAGTATTAAAATTGACAGTGCTTTTCTATCAGCCAAGCTTTTCCATGCACAGAAAATAGATAGTGCTTAGAAGCTAGTTCAAACTTTCATCTAGGTCAGGGGTAGGCAACCTTGACTCTTTTATGACTCATGGACTTCAACTCCCAGAATTCCTGAGCCAGCATGGCTCAGCTTGGAAACCTCTCCTTTTCCCCTCAGCATGGCTGGCTCAGGGATTCTGGGAGTTGAAGTCCACGAGTCATAAAAGAGCCAAGGTTGCCTACCCCTGGTCTAGGTAGCTGGTTTTGGTGGCTGTTGTTGTTTGTGGGAATTGTAGAGGGAGGGTGTTTTGAGTTTGGGGTACACCTTCTCTCCTCCATCTCCTCCAAATCTAGAATTGAGCAGGGTTATTTTAAATGTTGCCATTCTCAGGGGCATTCTTAATACTAGCTCTCCTGGGACAATCATTACTTTTTATTGAATATTATACCAAATACAAATAATAATAACAAATATAAATAAAACTTAATGCCATTCCAGATGACCCAGTAAAAAAAACAATAACTAAAAGAAATAAAGAAAAACAATACTTTAAAATGAAATAATATAGTATTAGCATACAATGTTGCTTTATTGATTGATTGCCTTTGAAGCAGTCCATCTCCCTTACATTCTAACAATTTTCTACTTTTCTATTATAGCAAAAAATAATACTGTACTACCTTTCTTATATAAATTGCCTACAGTAATTAGAATCGAGCATACAATTTTTCATGAGAACTGAATTTTAATTTCTTATTCAATACTGCCCAAAGGTGTCTAACATGTTATCTTGTTAGCAAACGGAATAATGCATAATGGTGTATCATTTCTACATATTTAAGTAAAAGATCTTTGATTAAGATCTTTAAAAGGCTATGATATAATCAGTATAAATTATCTCCAAATAATCTATTATTGTAGGAATTAAATGACTATGCTTCAAGTATTTCAAAATTTTGCCTAGTATTTCTTGTTCCCAACATCATCTGTATTTAACTGCAACTTTTATTCAGTTTCTACTCCCCACCTGCCTTGTGTATCATCCACTTGTCTTATTAAACATACCAAAATTAAATATTAGAGAAGAGAGGGACATTCTTGACATGTCCCACGTTTTGAGCGCCGAGGATATAATCCCATTAGACCAGTGTTTCTCAACCTTGACAATTTTAAGGCATGTGGACTTCAACTCCCAGAATTCCACAGCCAGCAATGCTGGCTGTGGAATTCTGGGAGTTGAAGTCCACATGTCTTAAAATTGTCAAGGTTGAGAAACACTGCATTAGACATTACCTGAGGAGACAGAATAGAATAATAATTTTATCTGACAAATTCTACTGCAAAATCACTTTTCTTCATAGTTTGCTCTATATCAAATCCCTTGAATGGGCATCTATCACTTATAGAAGATTGATTGATTGATTGATTTCCTGATTTTATTATTTTTAGAAATAACTTAAGGCGGCAAATGCTCTTCCTATTTTTTGCACAACAACAACCCTGTGAGGTGAGCTGGGCTGGGAGAAACTGACTGGACCAAGTCACCTAGCTGACTTTCATGGCTAAGACAGAACTTGAACACACGGTCCCTTTCTTTCTAGCCTGATGCCTTACCCACTAGACCAGGGGTAGGCAACCTTGGCTCTTTTATGACTTGTGGATTTCAACTCCCAGAATTCCTGAGCCAACCATGCTGAGGGGAAAGGGAGAGGTTTCCAAGCTGAGCCATACTGGCTCAGGAATTCTGGGAGTTGAAGTCCACGAGTCATAAAAGAGCCGAGGTGGCCTACCCCTGAAAACTGGGTTTAAAAAAAAATTCCATTTGCTCAATAAGTATACAAATACAGTAAGACTGTGTAATCTAATGAATTGTAATTAACTTATCCAGTCTGTTGGCCCCACTGCCATATTCTATTAGCAAAACAAAAGCAATCATCACTGTTAACCAGAAATCGAGATGATTATTGTCAATGTGCTCTGATATATTCTTAAACCAATTTTAAAACAAACTGTCAGGTCAATGGTTCTTTTTTTAAAAAGATCAATATATTTTTTGAGAAAATCAGTGTTGGGCCAGGAAGGATAACAGTTTTGTTTGCCAGCAGTATTGATAAGGCAAGAACATAGTCTTATTTACATTTTAGAACAATTGTACTTCCAACTACTTTCTAATACCCATTTATGATGAACTGATTGGAAATCCTTTGTCTTTGACTTACGCCTGGACTCCTAGCAACAACTTTTTTTAAAAAAATCAATAGTCTATAAATAATTTCCTTTCTTCTCTTCTGGCAAGTACTACTAACCATTGAAGCATGACCTTAAACACTGTTATTTCCACATGAAAAGCTAGGGCAAAGAAATGCTGTGGCTAATAGTGATTAAAAATATACAAACTTGATATCTGCATAAAGTCCCAGGAGGAGAAAAAAAAACAGAGAGATTTCCTAAACAGTTAAAGGCCACTCATAAATGGAAATGGAATAATAAGCTTTGTTCTTAACAGACTGTTCTCAATCAGTAGTTTTCATGCTGTGAGTCCTATTATGCTATTTAAAGAAAATTTGTGGGAAAATTCCTCAAAAGATTATTCTGTTTTTTATGAGGTATGTTGTTGAGTATATTGGATTCACTGTCTGTTCCCAAGAGGAGAACTCCGTGATCAATCTGCTCCCCAAAATATCTCCCACGATATAGTACTTTGTGGCTGCATCTGATTTTTAGAGTTTGTTGCAAGGGACTCCACAGGCTGTGGTACATAGGCTTCTCTGAAAGTCCAAAATTCTAGATTTCTTGTGGGAAAATTACCATACAGGTGGTCCTTGATTTACGGCCAAAATTGAACCCAAAATTTCCATTGCTAAGCAAGACAGATGGTAAACAAGTGTCAGTCCCTAAGCAAGTGGATTTTGCCCCATTTTACAACCTACTTTGCCACAGTTGTTAAGTGAATCACTGCAGTTGTTAAGTTAGTAACAAGGTTGAATCCGACTTCCCCATTGACTTGGCTTGCCGGAAGGTTGCAAAAAGGTGATCACGTGACCCCAGGACATAAATACGAGTCAGTGGCCAGATTTTGATCATGTGACCACAGGGCTGCTACAACGGCCGTTCATTGTGAAAAACGGCCCTAAGTCGCTTTTTTCAGTGCCATTGTAACTTCGAACGGTCCCTAAACGAGTGGTTGTAAGTCGAGGACTACCTGTATAGGGATGCTCTTAGCTTGAGCATTTGCAGTCCTTGGAGGCCATGAACTAATACGATTCGCTCTTCGTGCTGTTGTGCATATTTTTGCAGAAGGCGTTTTATCTCCCAGCGCTGCTCTCTAGAGTTTTTAGAAGACATAGTGGAATGTGCCAGTGCGCGCAGGTACTTGTCAAAAGCAGCATTAACCTTCCATTGCATGCTTTGCAAGTCCTTCTTCCCACCACCCTCATATCAAGCCAAAAAAATAAAAAAAACCCAACCTAAGCATGCATGCTCGATCCAGCTATGACATCTGCAGTTCTTTTGTTATCCCTGAGGGGTTTTTATTTATCACAGATATTTGCGCATTTTTTTCTCTCGAAATGTAGAACGAAGCACATATCCGGGTCTCCGCGACACAAAGGCTTGAAGAAAGTACATTTCATCAAGAATATGAGGCAATACGACACGCGGAACAGCAGGTGACCTTTTAACTTTCATCAAAACAAATCTCTGCGCAAAGCCGTGCAAATTTTGATTCACAGATTATTGGGGGAACAAAATGGCTGAAAGAGTGGGAGGGTAGTCCTTCTGGGTGCATCCTACTAGCTTTCTCTGACCATGGCTTTTATTTTATTAATTTAATTTAATTTAATTTTCTGCCTTTATTATTTAGAGAAATAACTCAAGGTGGTGAATGTATATCCACCTTCTTCCTCCTATTTTCTCCACAACAACAATCTTGTGAAGTGGGTTGGGCTGAGAGTACAAATGGCGAAAAGTTGCTCAGCCAGATTTCATGCCTTAGGTGGGACTAGAACTCACAGTCTCCTGATAATTGGCCCAAAATCATCTATCTGGCTTTCTTGCCTAAGGCAGGACTTGAACTTACAGTTCTCCTGATGATTGACTCAAAATCACCTCCAGGCTTTCATGCCTAAGGCGGGAGTAGAACTCACAGTCTCCTGTTTCTAGCCTGGTGCCTTAACCATTAGACCAGTGATGGCGAACCTTTTAGAGACTGAGTGTCCAAACACTGGCCCCGCACCACCCATCTCCCCGCCCGCCCCCATCCCGCCCGTCCCCTGCCCTGCCACTGACCGCCTCCATGGCCCACTGCAGCATATTACCCAGACGGCCCAGCAGCGCCATGGCGGCCATGCCCTCCACCCGTGCCCGCAGCATCAACTGCACATGATGGGGTGCAAGGGCGGAGTCTTGTCCCCACTGCCCGGCTGCCATGTCCTTGGCCAGTGGTGGTGAACCTATGGCACGGGTGCCAGAGGCAGCACTCAGAGCCCTCTCTGTGGGCATGTGCGCCGTCGCCCCAGTCCTAGGCCTTCAGCTGGATTTTATAAAACCTTTTCGCTTTAGGCCTCCGCCACCGTGTGCAAAAAAAAAAAAAAGGTTCAATCAGTCAATTTCAACTTCTCGCGGAGAAAAAAAAAGATCTTGCAAAGTTGGAATTGATTGATTGAACTTTTTTGTCCCACCCAGTCTGCTGTTACCACCGCAGCCACGCCCACCCAATGGGCCACACCCACCCAATAGGCCATATCCATCGATGCGTAAGTGAGTTTTGGATTGCAGTTTGGGCACTCGGTCTCTAAAAGGTTCGCCATCACTGTCCTTGGCTGTGCTGCTCTGCGCAGGCCCACTTGGGGGTGACTCTCCTCTGGGGGGGCTGCTGGTGATGAGGGGACTGCTGGAGAGGCAGGGCTGGGGCAATGGCGCGCGTGCCCACAGAGAGGGCTATGAGTGCTGCCTCTGGCACACGTGCCATAGGTTTGCCACCACTGCATTAGACCAAAATGGCTCTCAATTTGGACCCAATTGTCTTGCCAGAAGCTCCATCATTTTCTTGTAGAAAACATTTGAAATTAAACCGAAGGTCACGGATTGTACAGGATTGGAACCAGAAGCAATGTCTGTTCAATCTTAACCAAAGACTAATCTCCCTCCCCAACCCCATATTTCACTTGAAGTGTAAGCAGATGTCTTCTTAAAAATAAAGTAAGCTTTTTAAAATGAAGAGGTAGGCAGGATGTGACTCTAGGTTAGGTTACGGGGCTGCCGTTGAAGACTGTTCAGAAGCTTCAGCTCATCCAGCTTGAGGCCACCCAAGGGAATTGTCTGTCAGATTTCCCCAACCTTTTGGTCACCAGGGACCGATTCTGTGGAGAAAGGTTTTCCAATGGACCGGAGAGTGCGTGGTTTTGTGTGCTACCTCTATACACACACACACACAATACAGGTGTGCTCACAGAAATGTGACACATGTACCCATTTAGTAGGAAAGAGATCTCCAAGAATTTCTGGAGTAAGCTAAAGTTACAAACCTTGGTTGAAACAATGACTATTGCCCCATTTTTTTTTCTTCCTTGACAACTTTTTCTGGGAAGGGAGAATTGTCTTACTTTCCAGATTCTCTTCCAGTGGAGTGAATAAGGTATCTACAGTCCAGCCTTCTAGTAACTTCTGTAGCATGGAAAATTAGGAAATGAACATTAGAACAACATCATGCCAACTAAATGTTTCACCAACATTGTCTAAGTCAGTGGTGGCGAACCTATGGCATGGGTGCCAGAGGCAGCACTCAGAGCCCTCTCTGTGGGCACGTGCGTCATTGCCCCAGTCAGCTGGGTTTTATAAAACCTTTTAGCTTTAGACCTCCACCGCCATGTGCAAAAAAAAAAAAAAAAGATTCAATCAGTCAATTTCAACTTCTCACGGGAAAAAACTTCTTGCAAAGTTGGAATTGATTGATTGAACTTTTTAGTCCCACCCAGTCTGCCATTACCATGGCAGCCACGCCCACCCCATGAGCCACGCCCACCCAATGAGCCACACATCCCCGGCACTCGACGATGCATAAGTGAGTTTTGGGTTGCAGTCTCTAAAAGGTTTGCCATCACTGGTCTAAGTCTTCCTTGCTGAAGGCCATTCAGCAGAGCTAGACAGTTACAGATGACTTATACTGGGAACTGGAGAAGTTATTTTTCTAAACCTTGCACTGGGGAAAATGTGAAATAGCTTCATTTTTTAAAATTAAAACCTGAGCTTGTAATTGCTCACAGAAAGCTATTTAATAAACACCCATGTTAAAAGAGCTATCAATCGAAAGGGAGTTAAAGTGCATTATGGATTTGGTTTTTATATAGTTGGTTAATGTTATCTAGATTATGATTGTCATATTTGTAACCCTGTATTCAGCTCTGGGAAGTGTGGGAGGGGGAGGGGGGGTTGGGGTTGTTTTGTTGTAAATTTTTGTAAAAAATTTTAATAAAAAAAAGAGCTATCAATCCAGCTCATTTAGGAATAAAAATGCTACTATAATTCACAATATTCTTTCCCTGTCTTTTCAGGATAGTGTTAATTTGCGCAAAACGAACCCTTTGTGTGGCTTTTTCTATCCTACCTTACGGAGAGAGCTTAAGGATCAGGTGAGAAATTCCAAATTTTGTTACAAGTACCTTTAACTCTGGCAAGCTATCAAGTTGTCATCTTTCTAAGCTTATCTGAAGTCATTTCCCCCCCCCCTTTTTTTTTTAACTCTGTTGGATAAGATCATACTGTTCATCCTTGCCATAATATGGTTTTGCTTCAGATTGTATAAAATTGATGATTGTTTTAGAATGAGGCTGATTCTTTGTACATTATTTTCAGATTGATCGGGTCCAGGATTGGATAGGATAGGATAGGATGATAAGATAAGATAAGATAACCTTTATTGTCATTTTTACTGTGAGCACACTGGCCCACATTAAAAAAAGAAAGTATATATTTACCTATCCATATATATATACAGTATATAAGTGTCTTCCAGTGAAGACGGTCTATCAGAACACTTTAACTCTTTGTCGGCAAAATCTAAATTTAACACAAAAATAGTTTGTTGCAGTAGCATCTGCCTGTAAAAGTTCCTAGATTGGTGTTCAAAGGCAAAAAGCAATAATAGATTGCTTCGTCCCATATTTGGGTAGACCACGTGTTCTGATAGACCGGCTTCACCGGAAAACACTTAATTTCTCCTCCCTGGTACAGCTGACAAAAAGGGAGGAGAACCCGTGGTCTAGAGGTTAATACAGCTGCCTAACGTGTAGGTGGCCTGGATTCGAATCTCAGAAGGGTATGGCTAGCTGATGAGAGCTAAATAGTTTGAAATAGCTTTATTAGTCTCCCTTTAACTCTTTATCGGCAAAATTATCCATTTTGAATACTTTCTTAGCAGAGTTATAACATTTAAATGAAAGTTTGACTTGAATGTAAAGAGTTAGTCAAATACTGTTAATAGTTAACATACTAAAGTGAGACGGGGCAGAGAAAAAAGGTCTATTTTAGCTGGTATAGAAGGTGCAATTTCCCCAACTTGCAACCATTCACTCACAGCAGTGCTGAAAAAAGTGATTCATGACTGGTCCTTGCACTTATGACATCGCAGCACCTCTACAGCTATGTGATTTGTGATATTCCCAACCCTCTTCCGAAAAGCAACATTAACAGAGAAGGTCACAAATCACAAACATGCAATGTCTTGCTTAACAACGATGACAAAAATGGTTGTCAAAATTGGGTATGGTCCTAATTTTGGCCTCACTTAACCGCTCTGCTTAACAAGGAATTATCCAGTTCCACTGATCGTAAGTTGAGGACCACCTGCATAGTCAAAAGTTCCAATATATACAAGGCAAGTCTGTTCTTTTAAATCAGGATAACTGTACATCAGTAAATTTAGTATATTTCCTATGGTTAACTTTTTGCATTTTAGTTTACATAAAGCTGTATAGAAGTCTAGTTTTGAAACATTTAATAATGATGATGATGATGAGAAGAAGAAGGAGAAGGAGAAGAAGAAGTTGGAAGGGACCTTGGAAGTCATCTAGTCCAACCCCCTGCTCAGGCAGGAAACCCTATACTAGACATGTCAAACACAAGGCCCGGGGCCCGAATGCGGCCCGCGAAGTGGTTTCATGTGGCCCGTGAAGCCATCCTGGAAACAGTGAGGGAACAGCCCCCGCTGCCTTGGCCCTGGCCCAGGCCAGCCGGGAGCCAATGTACAATTTTGTGGTGGCCCTCTATGCTGAAACGCATTCAGTCTTAGCTCCACAAGGCTGTCTGGAAACAGCGAGGAACCAGACCCTGCTATGTTGGCCCCTCCCCCTGGGTGCATGCTGGGGAGGTGTCACCCTTTGTGAGGAATGAAGAAATGGACCATGCCTTGGCGCTTGCCCCGGTCTGCCAGAGACCTTCAGATCTGTCCCACTCCTGCCCAGGCCCCCATAGTCCCTCTTGATGGAACGATGTAGAGCTGGCCATGGCCACCCGGGCCACACCCACTCCATCCACGCCCACCCAGTAGGCCGCACCCACCCTGGCCACACACACCCGCCTCCCCGAGGGCAACCGCAATGCTGATGCGGCCTTCAATGAAATTGAGTTTGACACCCCTGCTCTATACCATTTCAGACAAATGGCTGTCCAGTCTCGTCTTAAAAACTTCCAGTGTTGGAGCATTCACCGCTTCTGGAGGCAGGTTGTTCCACTGGTTAATTGTTCTAACTGTCAGGAAGTTTCTCCTTAGTTCTAGGTTGCTTCTCTTCTTGCTTAGTTTCCATCCATTGCTTCTTGTCCTGCCTTCAGGCACTTTGGAGAATAGCTTGACTCTCTCTTCTTTGTGGTAGCCCCTGAGATATTGGAACACTGCTATCATATCCCCCCTTGTCCTTCTCTTTATTAAACTAGACATACCCAATTCCAGCAACCGTTCCTGGTTGTTCCAGTCTAACAGGACAGGTCAATGTTCAGATGCTCTTTTCCACTTATAAGATGATGGCCATTTGGGAATCATCCATCCAGCATGAATGCACATCAGTTCATTCAAGCACTGTTGATAATCTGCGTAACAATATTGCACTCCGTAAGTTATATTCCTGGCCCACACACTTCAGAATTTGAGAAGAAATGAATCACACATTAAAGATTAATTAAATGAAGGCTGATAAGCAGACTGTTCATTTAATAACCTTCCTCCAGAAATCCCACGACATATTTCGGGTTCTTGCTGGATGTATATCACATGTAATTAGCCTTGTCACAAAAATAAAACAACTCATCACTCGAGTTCCTGTGATTAGTGCCGTGAAGAAAGAAATGGATATTTTCATGACAGACGTCCCCGTGCTATAAATAACATATGGGAAACTTCTTTCTAGCTTGATGGGAAATAGTGAAACCATTCAAAAGTGCTTCATTTTAATGAAAGCCAAATGAATTATCTGGGGATGGGAAATATAGATTGAATACCCCAAATAATTTAGCTACTGATTAACAATTTAGGGGAAAGGCAGTAGAATAATGCAATTGCAAGCTTGTCTAATATGTTATGAGCTCATGGGTTATTAATTACAGTTGGTCCCTGACTTACAACCACTTGTTTAGCAATGGTTCAAAATTATGATGCCACTGAAAAAAAGTGACTTACAACTGTTCCTCATACTTATGACCAATACAGTATCCCCGCAGTCGCTAGGCAATTGGCGTGTATTTACAGTGGTTGCAGTGTCCTGGGGGGGTCTTGTGATTGCAATTTGTAGTCTTCTGTGCTCGCTTCTGACAAACAGAGTCATTGGAGAAAGGCAGCTTCAGTTAACAGCCATGTGATTCACTTAACAACTACGTAATTCGCTTAATAGCGGTGTTAAAAAAATGGTCATAAAATCAGCTCTGGTTATGGAATGATTTGCTGACTGACCACATCCCTTACCAACTGAAAATTCCAGTCCCAATTATGGTCATAAAACAAGGACTACCCGTATACACTCTTTAAGAGATAAAAAAGTAGTTTTGGTAATTGGTCAGTTCCGGGTTCCCAATTTTGGATTAATTTTTCAAGCTCGAAATTCTGATGTATAACAGCCTTCCCACATTTCCCATCTTTTTGCAAGGAATTCCGAGAGTTACAATCGCATCACATCCAAAGGACAGCTGGCTAGGGAAAGCTGGCAGAATGTTTTCTTTCTAAGCACTGTGTGACCATAATATCCCACTGGGCATAAATTTAAAGGAGTTAACAATTGCCAGGAAACTTCCTATTTATGTGTAGTTTTGAAAGGGGATGAGTACAAAGTAAAGTTCACAGATGTTATTTCTAGCAAAGAGGTTCCCATAGCCGGATCAGATCTTTGTGTATTTTATAGCTTTTCAAGCTTACGCCTTTTCCTATATTATGGTATATCCTCCAGTCATAGGCTGCAGTTCAAAGGCTGTATTGCGTTTTCAGTCTTTTTGAATCGTGGGAATAACTTTTAACTGTTGAGCCTTCTCTGCGGATACAACTACACGAAACTCTTCTAAAAATAGGATGACTTCCAACTAAGTCCTCTTGACTATTTACTGAACTATTTTTTTTCCTCTAATGTTTTTTAAAAAAAAAACACTTTCAGACAAGGGAATTGCCCTTTTAATTTTTCAATATGTACGGGTGTTTTATGTTTTTTTGCTTCTTGTTTTAACTGCTGACCGAGCTGCTTTGGGCGGGGATGAGAAGAAAGCAACTTTGAATTTTCTGTTTTGCTCTCCTTCTGCCTTGGATAGTGAGCTGAGAATAGAGGGCCAGAAGCAGAGGCATCCGTCAGGGGGAATTTCAGCCACTACAGAGATGGTGTTAGGAATGGAAGGCGTGGAACTAGGTGCAGATGGCAAGGTAAGACACACACACACACCTCATGAAATGAAACAAACCATTTGAGTTGTAATGTGGACGTTTGTAGAGGGGGGAGCGGGAGTCAGCTTCCATATCCCAAAGCTGCTTTTCCAAAAGGCAACTGGACTTTGTTTTTTTTCCTTGAAGTAATTCAGTCAGAACTGAAGCTTCTTGGATGAGAAGTGAAATATTTCAAGGAAAAAAGCAAGAAGGTCCAGTTGCCTTTTGGAAAAGCAGCTTTGGAACAACCAGGACCTGGATGGTTGAGAATCTCTGTAGACATCAGTTGGGAAGAAATATGTTTTCAGAAGTACTGAAACTATTTGTAATTAATTTGCTCTCAACTCCTTCCCTTTGAATCTTCTCCTTATGCAGTGTGCATGTCATGCTTGCTCTGTTAAATGTTGAAGGCGCTCGCTCGCTCCATGCAGAAACCACATGCCTAGCAAACCCCCTGTGGGTGGCTCGTTTGAACTTAAAACTGGTTAGTTCTGGATTCCCAGATTTGGATTAATTTTTCATGTGTTATGACCTTCCAACAATTTGAGCTTGTGTTTTCCAAATGGGGAGTTAAAGTTGAATAACAGAGTTGGAAGGGACCTTAGAGGTCTTCTAGTCCAACTCCCTGCTTAAACAGGAAACCCTATACCAGCATGGCTGGCTCAGAAATTCTGGGAGTTGAAGTCCACGAGTCATAAAAGGGCCAAGGTTGCCTACCCCTGCCCTATACCATTTCAGACAAATGGTTTTCCAATTTCTTCTTTAAAATCTTCAGTGTTGGAGCACCCACATCTTCTGGAGATAGGTTGTTCCACTGATTAAGTGCTCTGAGTGTCCAGAAATTTCTCCTTTGTTCTAGGTTAGTTCTCTCCTTGATTAGTTTCCATCCATTGCTTTTCGTTTTGCCTTGAGGTGCTTTGGAGAATAGGTTGACCCCTTCTTCTTTGTGGCAGTCTCTTAGATATTGGCACATTGCTATCATGTCACCCCTTGTCCTTCATCAAATTAGACATACCCAATTCCTGCAACCATTCTTCATATCGTTTAGCCTCCAGTCCCCTAATCATCTTTGTTGCTCTTCTCTGCACTCGTTCTAGAGTCTCAGCATCTTTTTTTATATCATGGCGACAAAAATTGGGAAATGAAATTCCGACTGGCAGGATTGTTCCCAGGGAATTCCAGTTCCAAGAAAAAACACTTCTTGGGAACCGAAGGTAGACCGTTGCTGAAATCATGGGGCGTCTGTTGCTGACGATTGTGGAACTCTCTTTCAGGTGGTGTCTTATGCAAACTTCTTGTACCCAACCAACGCTCTTGTGGGCCACAAAAGTGATGGCATCAGTGCTGTTTCCATATGTCGAGCGACTGCATCCCGAACAGTAGGAGGATCGAGGTACAAGCCTTCAGCAGCCAAAACCATCCCTTCCACAGCAGATCTGGGTAAGTCCTTGAACAAGCGTATTCCATCTTTCTGTATTTTTATTAACTTCTAAATAAAGAAAAAGCAAACAGTGGTTGCATTGCAATTAAGAGGATAGATGGAATATTGCCAGCAGTAGATTTAATGGAACAATTGGGTGAAAAGATAACATTTCATTTTCCAAAGCAGCGAATGGGGGAATTCTACATTTTGCAAAATATGATGCCTCTTGGTGTCGTTTGTACCCTGAGAATTAATTAGAAAAATTGCACTAATAGGACATTTTTGTACATAATAATTGGCACTGGAGCAAAGGATAGATGCTGTTCTATATTCAGCGTAATCTTGGGATGATTTTTTTTACCCCTGAGCTGCATTGAATAGAGTTCTAGAGAAGACTCTACAAATATGGGTGGGATGAGGTCAAATGTAAAAGAGAGCCAGTTTGGCCTAGTGCAGGGGTAGGCAATCTTGGCTCTTTTATGACTCGTGGACTTGAACTCCCAGCTCAGGAATTCTGGGAGTTGAAGTCCACGAGTCATAAAAGAGCCAAGGTTGCTTACCCCTAGCCTAGTGGTTAAGGTGCTGGCCTAGAAACCAGGAGACAGTGAGTTCTAGTCTCACTTTAGGCATAAAGGCCAGCTGGATGACTTTGGGACAATCACCAGGAGATGGTGAGTTCTAGTCCTGCCTTAGGGATGAAAGCCAGCTGGGTGGACTCTTACTCAGCCCATCTCTGCCAGGTTATTGTTTTGGCAGCGAAAATGGGAGGAAGAAGTATTAGGTAACTTCACCACCTTGAGTTACTTATAAAGTAATAAAGGAAGGATAAAAAAAATCTAAGAAATAAATAAATGCTGGTGTTTATTTCATGTATTTTATATATCAGCGTCATCTTTTCTTTTTTCAAAGAAAATACGATTATTCCCAGAGCGTTTAGCCTCAGTAGAGGGCAACCCCCCAATTGACTTTTATGGGATCAGAAATTGAGCAAAGTTGGGTTTGGCTCATAGAGGTCTGAGACCAGTAGGACATCTGTAAACAATCTGGAAGAATGCATTGTGAGGTTATCTCTATGTTTTGTCCAACAAAATTGCATGGACTATGTCTGCGAAGTCACTGAGAGCTACCCTTGACTTGAGCAGGCATTTATATTATTTTACATTAAAATTACACCTTTATTGTAAGTTTTGGAAGGGCTGAGCAGTTGGAACTCACTGGCTCTGTAGGCTCAGAACATGCAACCCTGGTTTTATCCTACTGAGTGAAAGAGCCCAACCTCCAATTTATGAGGTGCTCTGCCTGACTAGGCAAATTTGCCAGGCCATCCACTTATCTAATTTGCCTGAATGCTTCCAATCAATGTGTAAAAAACCACAACTGTAATTTGTAATCCAATTATTTCCTCCTAACCAGTTGCCTTCCACATTTGATAATAGACATCATTTCTTCTGAATTCTAGACCTCGCGTTTGGGAGTTTTAAAACTTTGCAAAGAATATAGAAACAGAGAAAAACAGGAAAAGTGGAAATACATTCATCCAAGCTTGCTTACATGCTGCAGTTCACTTCAGTTAAAAAAAACCATAAGTAGCAGTGTTTCTCAGCCTTGGCAACTTGAAGATGTGTGGACTTCAACTCCCAGGATTCTTCAGACATCACGACTGGTGAGGAATCTTGGGAGTTGAAGTCCATACTTCTTCAAGCTGCCAAGGCTGAGACTGATCTATGGAATATATAACTGTAAATATGAAACAAAGATCAGCCAAGAAACAGGCCATTTTTGAAGGTTACAATGGTCAGATCAAAGGAAGGTCAAGGCCAGGCTTCTATTGTCACAAAGGGTGCCACAGCTGTCCCATTCCAATCCCTAGCAACTGCTCAGCTGTGGAAATTGCACATATCCTGGTAATCCGTACTGTAGTTAATTTCCACCATGGTTTGTGGACAAACCATAAGACCTTGTTTATTCATAATGTTAAGACTGAAATCAGGAAAATCACTACGAACACTGGCTGGCAGTCAAACGCCACGATCCCAAATCCTACAAATCGACACCAAACAGCACCACAGTTCAATTGGAACAACACAAAAATCATTGGCCACACTAACACCCATCATGTTCATGAGTTCATCGAAGCCTGGCACTCCACAAGCAGACACATTGACCTTCAACCAGCTTACAAACCCCCCAGAATCCAAATCAATCGCACAACCAACCAGAGACAGCATCGATCCTCAACCAGTCCACACAATCCCCCTCCCGCCAGCAGTTCACCTCCCAATGACCCTGGCCTGATGTAACCTCCCCATCACAAGACCCATCACAAGCCTCTCACTGATGACTCACAGCTGACCCATCACAAGACCCTCATTTGACACACCCACACCTGAAGCCCTTATAAACAGAAGAGCACTGACACTGACATCCCTCCTAAACTTCGCTGAAGATGTTACCCAGCCTGGTAACGAAACGTTTGGAAACCAACCCATGAGCTCGCAGAACGAACCTTCACTCTCATTGAAATCATGGTTTACAAAGTACAGTGATTATGTTCACACATACACTAAGCCAAAATAAGTCACCTAATGGTTGTTTTGCGTCAACGTACGTAGAAGAAAATTTATAATAAAGCTTGGAAATGATAAAATCAAGCGCCGGGGAAATCAGGAGAGCTAGGCAATTCAAATGAGTATCAAGATTTATTGCAAGCTTAAGCTCTCTATAAGAATCTGACCAATTAATAGTCAAGGGAAATGAGCGGGAGATAAAAAGGCATTCAAGTGGGCTGGACTTAGATCTCTTGCGCAGGGACTCGTGACTTATGACGCATTTGACCTCTCCCTCGGGCTCAGCTTGATCATCTCCTGCATTGAATACAAGTGGTCCTCAGCTTACAACCATTTGTTTAGTGACAGTTTGAAGTTACAACAGCACTGAAAAAGTAAGAAATGACTGTTTTTTACACTTACGGGTATCCTGTTCAGCTAAAAGTAGCAGCCAGATATAAATTTGGTGCCGCATATAACTAAATCATGGCAGAGAGGTTTGAACAGATCCCCACAACCATCTTACTCTTTTGTGACCCTCAGCTCAAACCCAAATAAGTTTCTGTTGTTTATTTAATGTATTTCTATCTCCCCTTTACATCCAGAGAATTGGCATGAGACCTTGCAAGCTGTGAGTCTTGTAGAAAATAGGCTCTATCTGGATTCCAACTTCCACAGTTCAGCAATATGTTATTTTTTTAAAAGGCATTATTAAGTTTACAAAATGTTCTTTTAAAATCCCTCAATTTAATCAAATTTAATACTGGCTGTGTACTCCTAGATCGGTTTCTGCGGTTGCATCCAGAGATCTCAAACCAACTAAATATAGATTTTTTTTTAAAAAAAAAAAACTCATAAGCATGGTTACGCAAAAGGTACAAATGAGACATTTCCTGAAAGTCGAAGCAATGCCTTAAAAAGCCAAAAACGTAAATATATTCTTATAAAAATCTGGGCAAAGTACCAACGGCATTAAAATAGCAATTCTGAATATTTTACTGCTACGCTTGAGCGAAGGCTTCATCCATCCAACTTTGGCTTTGGGAAGCCAAGCTGTGATCACTCAATGAGTGCCATCTTTTAAATTTGAAAACAAGCCAGTTCTCCTTTTAGGTGATGAGATAAATAGGCGAAAAAGAAGCAAGACTTGCAACACAATATAGCAGGATAGATTGCTTCTGTTTAGAATGCCAGCCTGTTATAGGCTCTGTCTCCAATTTTCCACTTTCTCCCATCCCAAGACTCAGTCAATAATTTACTGCACCCACTTTTCAATTGAGTTATTTTTGGGGAGACATTGTCCACCCCTTGGGGCATTTTTTCCTTTTTTTTTGTTAGTTCTGCAGTAGTTGAAAAACTTCCTGTGGCTGATTGATTCTTCTCTCTTGTGCATTGACACTGCTGTTTCAATTATAAAAATGTCAACCAGGACTATGGCATCAAACAACTTCCAGGATTTTCAAACAGGGTGGCCAGTACAGGTAGTTCTCAACTTACAACCACAGTTGAGCCCACAATTTCTGTTGTTAAGTGAGACATTTGTTAAGTGAGTTTTGCCTCCATTTTATGACTTTTCTTGCCTCAGTTGTCAAGTGAATCACTGCAGTTAATAAGTTAGTAACTCAGTTGTTAAGTGAATCTGGCTTCCCCATTAATTTTGCTTGTCAGACGGTCACATGACCTTGGGACACAGCTATGGTCATAAATATGAATCAGTGGCCAAGCATCTGAATTTTGGTCACATGATCATGGGAGGCTGCAAAGATTGCAACTGAAAAACGGTCGGGTCACTTTTTTCAGTGCCATTGTAACTTTGAACGGTCACTAAATGAACTGTTGTAAGTTGAGGACTACCTGTACATCTAAAGGCAGCAAACACAATATTTCTCCTTTTCCTATTTTCCTCACAACAATCACCTCGTGAAACAAATTGGGGTGGGAATGACTGGCTCAAAGTCACCCAGATAACCGTAGCTTTCATTCCTGAGGCAGAACTAGAACTCACAGTCTCCTGTTGATTGGTTCGAAGTCACCCACCTGGCTTTCATGCTTAAGGCAGGACTAGAACTCACAGTCTCCTGGTGATTGGCCCAAAGTCACCTGGCCAGCTTTCATGCCTAAAGCATGACTAGAACTCCTGACTCCTAGCCTGGTGTCTTAACCTCTAGACCAGGAGTAGGCAACCTTGGCTCTTTTATGACTCATGGACTTCAACTCCCAGAATTCCTGAGCCAGCATGGCTCAGCTTGGAAACCTCTCCCTTTTCCCTCAGCATGGCTGGCTCAGGAATTCTGGGAGTTGAAGTCCACGAGTCATAAAAGGGCCAAGGTTGCCCACCCCTGCTCTAGACCAAACTGTCACTAGCTTTTTTTTTCTTCAGAATTTGAAATGCTGCATAAATGTGGATCAGAGGTCCTAAAGAAAGAATGTTAATTATTTTTCAAAGAAGAAACGAGCAGCAAACAGGAGGTTGGCTTTGAGAGGCCTGGCTAAAAGCCCATTTGGTCCTTCTAGCTCAGCGATCCATCAAGAGAGCATCTCCGGGTGCCCTAAGTGCTCCTAAAAGGAATTCATTTTGCCCTCTTCGTGCTGCTTTATCACCGAGCCGCCGCTGGTCACACACGGCTGGGCCTTTTTTGTCAAGATGATTTGACAAATCCTTTCAACCACCGCTGGGAGACCTTAAGAAAAATTTGGCTTGGCCATGTCCTGACTCAGCTCACCTCTGCAAAAAGCAGCAGGATGGAAGCTCAGAGCCAGGCACCTGCTGCTCAAGCCACGGCAAGAGCACCACTAATTGAGGGAGGCAACACCGCTGAGCTGTCAGATACGCATGCGGTAGCTTTGTGGGAGTAACAAAACATACAACAGCAGGAACCGCTGAGCTGCAGGGGGTCACTGGAGGAGGAAGAAAGGAAGGGGTCAGTGGAGAGATGATTTATGCACATTTGAAATGGACTCAGTACATCTTTTTTCCTGTCCTTTTTCCCAGACATTTGCATGACTTTTCTAGCTTTTAAAAATACATATATTAAAGCCAAATGAGAATAGTCCTATATATTTTATAGAAAAATTGATCTTCAGGAACTATTTGGTTTTTTTTTTAAAATGTGGTTTATTAGGAGAGAGAGAGAGGTCTGTGTGTGTGTGTGTGTGTGTGTGTATTTTACTCTACCTTTTTAATTTTTTATAAATAAGTCAAACTAGCAAGCATACCTAGCCTTCTTTCCTCCTATTTTCTCCACAACAATCTTCTGAGGTGGATTGGGCTGAGAAAAAGTGACTTGGACACAGTCACCAACTGGATTTCATACCTAAGACGGGACTAGAGCTCCCAGCCTCCTGGTGATTAGCCCAAAGTCACCAAGCAGTTTTTATGCTTAAATTGGGACTGGAACTCAGCCTCCTGGTGCCTTAACACTAGTCCAGGGGTAGGCAACCTTGGCTCTTTTATGACTCGTGGACTTCAACTCCCAGAATTCCTGAGCCAGCATGGCTCAGCTTGGAAACCTCTCCCTTTTCCCTCAGCATGGCTGGCTCAGGAATTCTGGGAGTTGAAGTCCATGAGTCATAAAAGAGCCAAGGTTGCCTGCCCCTGCACTAGACTAAACTAAACCAAACATATATAAACACGCCTTTGCTTGATCAAATTACGGGCCTATTTAGCTCCTTTCTGTTTTGTTTTGGGGGGTTTTTTGTTGTTGTTTTGCTATCTGTAGTTATCTTCTAAGGTTTTTGAAGATTTTGAGCTTCTGCACTGCAATCTCAAGCTGCTTTTCTCCCATGGGTAAACTGAAAATAAAGCCAGCTTAAAGTATTCTTTTCCAGATTTAACTCCTTGCATTGTTTTAGCGGCAACAGTAACGTGATGTTCTGTCCAGATTGTGTTGAATCTGATTGATTCTCTCCTGGCAGAAGGGAGGGAGGGAAGGAGGAAGAGAAGGAAGGAAGGAAGGAAGGAAGGAAGGAAGGAAAAAAGAAAGAAAGAAAGAAAGAAAGAAAGAAAGAAAGAAAGAAAGAAAGAAAGAAAGAAAGAAAGAAAGAAAGAAAGAAAGAAGGAGGCTTTTTTTATTGTGCCAGGGCTATAAGGGGAAAGTAGATTTCTTGTCAATTTCTACCAAGTTAAAAAAAAATTCAACAGATCCATGTTTCACTATTCCATTCATTAACCTTTAAAAATACTTTGGGCGGTAACCAGGGACCAGCTGAGAGTTTGCATTCCTCCCTGCTATGATACACAGTAAGCTGTTGAAGTGTATGAGCTTGCCAACCCAGAAAGGAAGCAGGCAAGTGAACCAAAACAGCAATATTTGACCTGGCCCAAATCAGAAAATGCACTTCTTTGGTCACGTAGCAGAAAATGGCCTTCCTGCCAGCTGTAGGCAGAGCACCACTGTTGTGTGTTCCCGCCTTGCAAAATGAGCAACCTGTGGACTGAGCCTTTCTTAGCCTCGTCTGGATTTGACAGCAAAGACCCTTCAGCAGTGTTTCTCAACCTTGACAATTTTAAGGCATGTGGACTTCAACTCCCAGAATTCCACAGCCAGTATTGCTGGCTGTGGAATTCTGAGAGTTGAAGTCCACATGCCTTAAAATTGTCAAGGTTGAGAAACACTGCCCTTCAGAAAGATTCAGGAGATGCTTTTCCTAAATTACCCTGGTGAGCTTTTAATCTTCAACTCCTTCTTTGCTTCCAGGAAATGAAGTGGGAGAGTTAGCAGAATACAATCCCAATTTGCTCGATGACCCACAGTGGCCGTGTGGGAAACACAAACGTGTCCTGATCTTTGCATCATACATGGTAAGATGATTTTGTGCAGATTCTTAACAATACAGTAATTAAGCACTAACGTTGGTAATGTATTTCCCTGTGTGTTTTATTTACATGCATGCAGTGAAGATTCTGTCCTCTTTCGCTTGACTAGTTAAAAATTACTGTGGGGGAATCAATGATTATTATGCCATTTTCTATGCAATGTAAGTCCTTGACTTACAAATATTCGTTTGGCAACCGTTCGAAACTATGACAACAGTGGAAAAAAGTGATCCTTGTAACCAGGATCACGTGATCATATAATAATAATAATGATGATGATGATGTTGGAAGGCATCTTGGAGGTCATCTAGTCCAGTGGTTCTTAACCTGGGCGATCTCGCCCCCCAGGGGGTGATTTCATTTTTCAGGGGGGCGATGGAATGAAAAGGGGGAATGCGGGGGCGAACAAAGGAAAAGGGGGCGATATGGGGGCGATGGAGCTAGAGATTTTGGGGACACTTTTGAGACTTTTTCGTACAGTGAATCGCTATATATCTGTCGTACAAAAACATCAGATCACTCGCTATTAGTGGATTGAATTGTAAATTGAGCGCGGTGATTTAAGAATGCGATTAACAAAAATGGTTCCAGACATCAAGAAATTGGCATCAGCTCACCAAGCATAGGATAGCCATTGATGTTCTTTTTTTTTTTGCTTTTTGTGTATATACATTTTTTTCGTTAATAATTGTCTGAGCTTTTATCGTTGTATTTGCTTGCATTGGATTTCACATTCCAGTTTGAGTTTTCGGCTTCGTTTTAGAATTTTTGTTGTACTCTGTAAAACATTTTGTGTGTCTCTTTGTATTGTACTTTTTTAGCGTGCACTCCAGTTCGATATTATGTTTTCTTTCTGTCTTTTTAATCCTTTTTACAGTGTGCGTGACTATATATACTTTCCTCAAATCTTAATTTAGTTTCAGAGTTTTTGTTTTGAAATTCTTAGTTCCTGTATTGCAGTTTGTTCTTATGCCCTTTTTATATTTCTTTTTGCGTCTTAAATTTCACTTATAATTCAATCATTACTGTTTTTCTTTTGGGGCATTTCACTTTCTTGCAATTGAATTTTGTTTTCAGTGGTCATTACATTTAAATGTCTTGAATAAATAAGATAATAATGAAATACATGTATCACGAAGTTTGGGAATAAAGTGACGGGTGGCACCAAAATTTTTCACACAGTTGAGATATGGGGAAAAGACTGGAAATAAATTATTTGCATCGATATGTCCAGATGACAATTTTAAAGAAAACAAAAAAAGTGTTTGCATAAATTGAAGAATTATTTCCTATGTTGTGATTGAGAGGTTATGTTGGAGGAGGGGGGCGATGACAACTTCCTCATTGGCTCAAGGGGTGATTCTTTCAAAAAGGTTAAGAACCACTTTCTAGTCCAACCCCCTGCTCAGGCAGGAAACCCTATACCATTTCGGACAAATGGCTGTCCGGTCTCTTCTTAAAAACTTCCAGTGTTGGAGCATTCACTGCTTCTGGAGGCAGGTTGTTCCACTGGTTAATTGTTCTAACTGTCAGGAAGTTTCTCCTTAGTTCTAGGTTGCTTCTCTCCTTGATTAGTTTCCATCCGTTGCTTCTTGTCCTGCCTTCTGGTGCTTTGGAGAATAGCTTGACTCCCTCTTCTTTGGGGCAGCCCCTGAGAGATTGGAGCACTGCTATCATGTCCCCCCTCGTCTTTCTCTTCGTTAAACTAGACATACCCAATTCCAGCAACTGTTCCTTGTATGTTTTAGCTTCCAGTCCCCTGATCATCTTTGTTGCTCTTCTCTGTACTCTTTCTAGAGTCTCAACATCTTTTTTACATCGTGGTGACCAAAACTTCACGTGATCTTGATTCTATCCCTCTGACCAATAAAATCAATGGGGAAGCCAAAATCACTTAACAACCATGTGATTCACTTAACACCTGCAGTGGTTTGCTTAACAAGTATGGCCAAAAGGTCATAAAATAAGGCATGACTCATTTAACAACTGCCTTCTTAGCAACAAGAATTGCGGTCGTAAGTTGAGCATTACCCGTGATTTTCGGTTCTTTTCACATCTCCGTAGCAACTTGGTGTTCCAGTTTTAGCATTCTGGGATCCAAGATCATATTGATTTTGAAACTAGATAGAATTGTGATATGCCCCACAGTCTTTTTTTTCCCCAGTGTCATTTTCCTGACTCAAGTTTTCCCCAACTCCAACATTTCTGTAAAATAAAAGAGAAAGTATCTTACTCAAATAAGTCCTTTTTTTTTTTCCTGCACCACCTCCCTTAGCAAACTGCAATTCAGTAACCATTGTTAACCAAAGGAGATTTGTTTCATTCTGAAATGGCACACAGTGGACTTTCACCTCCAGAGTTAATTACCCCTGTAGGGCTGCTGATTTAGATGCCTTTGAAAGCGAAAAGAATAGTTTAGGGCACAGGTCGGCAACCTGTGGCTCCAGAGCCGCATGCGGCTCTTTGAGCCTCCCCCTGTGGCTCCCAGCCTCCTCTGCCGTTGCAGAGAGAGACAGAGACAGAGAGAGGCAATTGCACTTCCCTGCTTCTCTCTCTGTGTGTGTGTCTGGGTGTGTGTGTGTGTGTGTGTGTGTAAAAGACAGTGCACTCACAGTGTTCTCCGAGGAGCTGAGAAGCTTAGTGGGTGGAGCTCCTCCCTTTGCTGCTCTCTGCAGGAAGCAGGAAGGGCAGGAGAGAGCTAGCTAGCCCAGCTAGGCTGACTCAGGAATTCTGGGAGTTGAAGTCCATGAGTCATAAAAGAGACGAGGTTGCCTACCCCGGAGGTTGTTGGACAACAGCTTGAAGCTTGCCAGGTGAGCAGCAGATAGGAGGGGGGGGGGAAAGAGAGAGAGAGAGAGAGAGAGAGAGAGAGAGAGAGAGAGAGAGTGGGGGAAGAGGAGTGGCAGACCAAGGGCAGATAGAGAGGGAGGGAGAGAGACCCTTTTGACATCTAAAATGAAGATAACACTGCATATATCCTTTTTTTACCTGTGTGTGTATGTAATTTTATTCTCTTAAAGCATTCTCTTGGTGATCATTGTTTTAATAGTATGGATATTCCCAAGAGTCATATTTTTACTTTTATTTTTAATGTGTATATGTGTGTGTCTCTCTCTCTCTGTGTGTGTGTGTGTGTGTGTGTGTATACACATATACACATACACATACACACACACACATACACATACACACACCTATAATAAAGGTAAAAAAGGATATATGCAGTGTTATCTTCATTTTAGATATCAAAAGGGTTTTGCGGCTCCCAGTGTTTTGTTTTTGGTGGGAAACGGGTTCAAGTGGCTCTTTGAGTGTTTTGGGTTGCCTACCCCTGGTTTAGGGAATCTCATTCCTGTGGAGGTCTTAGTAATAAAAAGCCTTTTTTTTTCCATTTGAAACTTCAGTGTTCTGTTTTCTGCTACTGGTTTTTCATCTGCTACGTGAATCATGCTTCTAATTCTAAGATCATTCCAGATCGCCAGGGGGAGATCAGGAGCTGATCTTGTGACTCGTGGGGAAAACTAATCCGACTATTGGATCAATTTTCCCCACAAGCCACCTAACAACTGTGCTCGTCCCGATGAAGAGGTGCTGTGGTCTACGTTTTAAATACAGGTAGTCTTGGACGTAGGACCATAGCTGAGCCCAACATTTCTGTTGCTAAGTAGTGCGCTGTGGCCCACTTTACAAACATTTTGGTAAGCACATCACTGCAATTGTTAAATGAAGCGTACAGTTGTGATGCAATTCTGATTTGCCCCATTGACTTTGCTTGTCAGAAGCCGGCTGGGAAGGTAGCAAATCACCTGACCCCGGGAATGTTGTGACTATTAGCAAAAGCCAAGCACCCGAATTTTGTTCACATGACTGTGGGGATGCTGCAGCAGTCGTAAGTGTGAGAACTGGTCATAAGTCCATTTCCCCGCCCCCAGTGCCGTTGTAACTTGGAACGGTTACTAAACAAATGATTATGCCAATCATGTTCCTTAGATATTTCCAAAAAACTGCCAGAACTGGAGGCTCAATAGGATCAGAGAAAACAACCTTCAATTACCCAAAGATTCCTGGGAACGCTGGGTTTTTCATATACTGGTAGTCCTCGACTTACAACTATTCGTTTAGCGACCGAGTCAAGTTACAACAGCATTGAAAAAAGTGACCTAGTGCCATTGTTCACAGTTACAAAGGTTGTAGTGGCCCAGGGTCATGTGATCACCTTTTTGTGACCCTCTGACAAGCAAAGTCAAATGGGGAAGTCAGATTCACTTAACAACCGCGTTACTAACTGGATAACTGCAATGATTCACTTAACAGCTGTGGCAAGAAAGGTCATAAAATGGGGCAAAACTCACTCATCTTGTTTGACAAGGGAAATCTTGGACTCAATAAGAAGTCGTAAATCGAGGACTATCTATGCCTACAGTATGTGCAACTCAAAACTGCAGAATCTCTCTCCTAAAGCAATACGTAGCTGAAAGCTTGTAGGGACTCTGTAACTCAGACATGTCAAACACAAGGCCCGGGGGCCGGATGTGGCACGCAAAGTGGTTTCATGTGGCCCGTGAAGCCATCCTGGAAACAGTGAGGGAACGACCCCCGGTACCTTGGCCCTGGCCCAGGCCGGTCGGGAGCCAATGTACAATTTTGTAGTGGCCATCTATGCTGAAACGCATTCAGTCTTAGCTCCACAAGGCCGTCTGGAAACAGCGAGGAACCAGCCCCTGCCGCGTCGGCCCCGCCTCCTGGGTGCATGCTGGGGAGGTGTCACCCTTTGTGAGGAATGAAGAAATGCACCATTGCTTGAAAGTGGCCAGCAAATGGCCCTCACCTACTACACATATCCGGCTTGATGGGCTCTGGGGGAGGGGTTTCGGCAGGCAGTGGGGTGCTCTCCTCACAGCACCAAGAGACTGAGCCGGGCGGCAGAAATCCAAAAAGAAACGTGAGGCCACCCAGCTCCCAGCCTATCCGGTTTCAGCAGGCAGCGGGATGCTTTCCTCACAGTGCCAAGAGCTGAGCTGGGTGGCGCGAATCTGATGAGAAGTACAATGCTGCCTAGCCCCCAGCCTGCCCAGTTTCAGCAGGCAGCAAGGTGCAAAGTTGGCGAGCTTTGCACCGCCAGCTCAACCTCTCGGCGCTGTGAGGAGAGCACCCCGCTGCCTGCCGAAACCACGCCCACCCAGTAGGCCACACCCATTCCATCCACGCCCACCCAGTAGGCCGCACCCACCCTGGCCATCCTCCCCCCAGGGCAACCACAATGCTGATGCGGCCCTCAATGAAATTGAGTTTGACACTCCTGCTGTAACTGAATAGTAAATCAGGCAGTTTGTTATTCAAATTGTATCTCAACCGGAGGCACCAAGTGGCCTAAGGCAAGCCTAGTTTCAGGCATTACACAAATAAATGGAGTTTATATAGACCTCCAGGGCAATGCAGATATTATCACAACTTACATTTTTTTCTCTTTGAAGCACACAGAAATGCAAAGAGTTTCAGCAGCTGTGCTCAAATACCAGATGATAAGCAATAATGTTTTTCTAATGATCTCTCCAGCAGGTTTGGCTTCCATTAGCAAGACCCAAATTCCTAGTGAGCTCAGATTCAGCTTCTGAATTTCAAATAGCCAAGCAAACAAGTATTTCCTAAAGGCTGGAGCAATTTCTCTGCACCTCCTGTTATTGCCCGTCTTGTATTTGCTGCTAAGGCTGCGCTTCGCAAAACCTTAAACTGGCACAAACTCACCACTCTGCATTACGTTTGAAGTGCCAAGTGTTGCAGGATTAAATGATTATTAAAGGGCTTTGGAAACCTCCTGTCCTAAAAGCGATTAGTCTTGTAAGCCTATTGACCTAGTTAGGGGAGGACTTGACTCTGTTCCCGGGACATGGTTAACATCACAAAGTTAGTACAACTTAATACCAGCTAAGGGTTATTAGGGTGCAAAGCTCAATTTAATGGGGTGCAGCTGAAACAAAGCATTGAATTCTACTGTGCTGTGTAGAATATGTAGGCCTTCTACATTTTTGATAGAATATTTGTAGCTCAGGGTAGTGTCCTTGGCGCCTTCTGAGCTTGGTGGTTTTCTTACAGACGTTTAATTACCCAACTAGGTAACATCATCAGTGCACCTAATTTGATATATATGAAACATCTGCAAGAAAACAACCAAGCTCAGAGATCACCAAGGACCCCACAGTTCTAAACTGCTGTCTAATGTTAGATTTATTTTTAAACATTTATTGATTCAGTAGATTTATATAGCTGCCTGTTTCACGTGCGCAATTCCAAGCAGCTACAAAATTAAGCACACAAAAAAAAAATCAACAAAATAGCCAAACACTAATGGAAAATAGGCTAAGGCAGTGTTTCTCGACTTTGGCAACTTTAAGATGCATGGGCTTCAAATCCCAGAGCAAAGCTGGCTGGGGAATTCTGGGAGTTGAAGTCCAGGCATCTTAAAGCTGCCAAGGTTGAACAGCACTGGGCTAGGGAGAAACTGAGCACAGTTTTAGCTGCAGCTAACACCTTTGCTCACATCCTACTAGACTTTCAATCTTCCTTTTGTCAGTTGTCATTTCAAAAGATTATCAAGCAACATAGGAATGTACCATCAAGCAGCCTTAGGAGTACACATTACAGGACTATATGATCCTTACTCATCTTAAGTAGCAACCAGCTACCAATTAGTTCCTGAATGCAATATAAAATGGTGTTGTTCTATAAAGCATTTTATTGCTTGGCACTTGCAAGACCCCTTATTCCAGGGGTCTTCAACCTTGGCAACTTTAAGACTTGTGGACTTCAACTCCCAGAATTCCTCAGCCAGCCAGGGTTGAAGACCCCTGCCTTATTCTGGTCTGAATCAGCCCAACTTGTTAGCTCATCTAGAGAGAAACTGTTCTTAGTATTGATAGAAACAAATATTTGTAGCTCAGGTGGGGTCCTTGATACTCTCTGAACTTGCAGGCATTTCAATACCAAACTAGGTAACATCATCCATGCAAACCCCGCTCCCTTCTAGCACTGATGATCTTACTAGTTTGGTATTGAAACGTCTGCAGCATGGGTGTCAAACTCGATCATGTCACATGACATATCACGACGGTTTTTTTCCCTTTGCGGAGCCGGGGTGGGCATGGCCTGTGTGTGACGCATCTGGCCTGCGGGCTGCCAGTTTGACACCCTCTGGTCTGCAAGAAAACAGCCAAGCTCAGAGAGCACCAAGGACCCTACTGTTCTTAGTATCCCACTTTTAGGAAACAAAGGAACATAATCCGAAGCAGTTTTCTGGTGTTGAACTGAATGCAGATAATATTTTCGATCCATGTCTGGTTTCTGAGTGATCATTTTCAAACAACGCCAATCAAGTCCACACAAACCAAATAGCATTGTAAGGAAAAGGGCTTATTTAGAGAAATAAATGATTAAATTAACATGATCACGCTGAATTTCTGAGGAAGAGATTAACCTGCCCTGTTAGATAGAATACTGCCGTCAAGTTATTTTTTGTGTCTCACATTCTCTTTTTCGGTACAGATTACTAAATAAATGCTTTTTTTTTTATTTTAGACCACCGTGATTGAATACGTAAAACCCTCAGATCTTAAAAAGGATATGAATGAAACGTTTAAAGAAAAATTTCCTCACATCAAGCTCACGCTAAGCAAAATCAGAAGGTAAAAAAAACTGTTTGGGAGATGTGAAAATCACTTTGTGTGTCAGTCCTGTCTTTGGAACAGGCTTCTTTCTATCCAGATTTATATCAGAGTGGCTTTATCTGTAAATATTGACAGCACAATCCTGCATACGTATTAATAAACATGAGGAAGTACATATAACATTGCAGATTTGACTATTAATGAGATATTTTATTTACAAGTTCTTGATTCAGTGCTCCGTCCCAAAATATAGTCTATGACAACATAGTCATAGGTAATAACTGTAGTAGTGTAACATGTCAGGAGGTGAGGAATTACTATTTTCTTGTTTTTTATGCTAATTATGGTAGGAATTGGGGCTTTTCATTCTGTTATGAATCTCTAGCTGCTAAATATGCTGTGATATACTCTAAACTGGGGATAGGCAACTTTGGCTCTTTTATGACTCGTGGACTTCAACTCCAAGAATTCCTGAGCCAGCATGAGTGACTCACTGGAGAAGAGCCTAATGCTGGGAAAGATGGAGGATAATAGAAGAAGGGGACGACAGAGAATGAGGTGGCTGGATGGAGTCACTGAAGCAGGAGGCGTGAGCTTCAGTGGACTCCAGAAGATGGTAGAGGACAGGAAGGCCTGGAGGAACGTTGTCCATGGGGTCGCGATGGGTCGGACACGACTTCGCAACTAACAACAACTTCTGATTCTACAAGAAATTGCACAATTCAGTTCTAATGTATAGGAAAGAAGTCAGATAATTGCTCCTTTTTCTGACTTTCTTCTGATTGAACGATTTTCTGTGGGGGTTACCCCTTAGCCATGTTCTTTTGATTGATCCCATAGTCTCTCTCCTGATATATACGGGGTTCAATTGCTACTTCCTGAAGCCCCAAAGATCAGAGAACTCTCCTTTCTCTGCCTCTTTATGAAAAGGACCGTTCTAAAACATATATGTGGGCGCGATGGCTCAGTGATCAAAGATGCTGAAGTTGTCAGCTGGGAAGCTGTCAGCCTGGGTTCAAGGCCCGAGCGCTGCACGACGGGGTGAGCTCTCATTTCTGGCCCAGCTTCTGCCCACCTAGCAGTTCAAAAGCATGCAAATGCGAGTAGATAAATAGGTACCACTTTGGTGCGAAGATAACAACGTTCTGTGCACCTCAGCGTATTGTCATGCTGGCCACACAACAGAAAATGCCTTTGGACAATATGTGCTCCCTCAGCCAAAAAACAGGAGATGAGCACCATCCCTAGAGTTGGACACGACTGGGCAGGGGAAGCCTTTACCTTTAAAACATACACATTTCACTTAGTTCTGAAGTTTCTCTTATCCACCTAGAAAAAATGAACTTTTTTTTCACTTTCTTCTCCCTTGCAGTTTAAAGAGAGAAATGCGAACCCTGAGTATGGAGTGCAACCTGGAGCCAATTACTGTGTCCATGGCTTATGTCTACTTTGAGAAGCTCGTCCTTCAAGGCAAGCTCAACAAACAGAACCGGAAACTGTGTGCCGGTGCTTGTGTGCTGCTCGCAGCCAAGATTAGCAGTGATCTCAGGAAACACGAAGTCAAACACCTAATTGATGTAAGTACAACTGGAAAATAGAATAGGAATAGGAATTAGAATAGAATAGAATAGAATAGAATAGAATAGAATAGAATAGAATAGAATAGAATAGAATAGAATAGAATAGAATAGAATAGAATAGAGCTGGAAGGGACCTTGGAGGTCTTCTAGTCCAGCCCCCGCTGGAGAACCTATACCATCTCAGACATCTCAGAGGAGGAGCAGGAGAACCTACACCATCTCAGACCATCTCAGTCTAGCCTCTTCTTAAAGATCTCCAGTGATGGAGCGCCCACAATTTCTGGAGGCAAGCTGTTCCACTGGTTAATTGTCCTCACTGTTAGGAAGTTTCTCCTTAATTTCAGGTTGCTTCTTCCAGGGTCTCCACTTCTTTGAAAACGCTAAAGTTCTCAAATATTTTTTTTCCCTACACTTCATACATAAATCTTTGCAGACTTGCAAATAACATCGAATGGAAATATATACATTTTTGACAGAGACTGGAAGTCCAAAGTTAGTTTTGTGGTAAGAATACCCTGCACCTGGATTGTCACTGTAAATGCATGAGAAAATTAGAAAGATGCAAGGTGGAAGTGTTGGGAGTGCTTTAAAGCTACCATTTGGATGTCAGGATTGTGATGAAAATAATAGTAATAATGTTGTCTCTGCAACACCAGCCCCAAATTGTCTACTTAAAGGATCATCAGCCAAATGATTGTGTTAGTTTGGAATGGGACATGATACCAAATTTGAATTGTACTGGGACTGGGTCTCCTTGGTTATTGCCAAAATAATTTGAATTTCCCTAAAGCAGATCCATTTGTTCATATGCATCAGTTTTTAATTTTCCTCCCTGTTATCTTGCTGATAATGGCACCAAGCAATTTCTTTTTCTATTCTGTCTGGCTCTGGATTAATATATGTATTTTTATGCATCCTAGTTCTATTCATGCCTTCTGATAATAAGCCCAGCTCCTTTCAGTAAGACTTAGTCTCAAATAAATGAGCAGGGATTGAAGCTATCTCTTTGTTGCCCCTCAATGTTGAGACTCTAGAAAGAGTGCAGAGAAGAGCAACAAAGATGATTAGGGGACTGGAGGCTAAAACATATAAGGAACGGCTGCTGGAATTGGGTATGTCTAGTTTAACAAAGAGAAGGACAAGGGGGGACATGATAGCAGTATTCCACTACCTCAGGGGCTGCCACAAAGAAGAGGGAGTCAAGCTATTTTCCAAGGTGCCTGAAGGCAGGACAAGAAGCAACGGATGGAAACTAAGCAAGGAGAGAAGCAACCTAGAACTAAGGAGAAACTTCCTGACAGTTAGAACAATTAACCAGTGGAATAACCTGCCTCCAGAAGCAGTGAATGCTCCAACACTGGAAGTTTTTAAGAAGAGACTGGACAGCCATTTGTCTGAAATGGTGTAGGGTTTCCTGCCTGAGCAAGGGATTGGACTAGATGACCTCCAAGGTCCCTTCCGACATTATTATTACTATTATTATTATTATTATTATTATTATTATTATTATTATTATTATTATTATTAATCATTGTTGATGGGCCAAGTACCTACAATTCTTAGGCAGTTTGATTCTTTACCAGAAAATAGCCGAGGTGGCACAGCAGTTAGAGTGCAGTACTGCAGGCCACTTTAGCTGACTGTGTTCAGCAGGTCAGCGGTTCAAATCTCACCGGCTCAAGGTTGACTCAGCCTTCCATCCTTCCGGGGTAGGTAAAATGAGGACCCAGATTGTTGGGGGCAATGTAAATATATATATATATATATATATATATATATATATATATATATATATATAGATATATATATATATATATATATACACACACACACATAAGCGGTATATAAGTCTCATAAATAAATAAATAAATAAATAAATAAATAAATAAATAAATAAATAATAGCACCAAGGTCTGTCATTCTCCTGAAGCCATGTAATTAGTTCTAGCTTTCCTTGCCACAGACATCAGCAATATATCGCAATTGCAAAACTGTTAAGTTCTGCAGAAGACCAAGTCATTGTCTGCTGTCAAATTATGTAACCATTTGGTGTGCCTCTCACTGAGATGCTAAATCTGTCTGGCCTTCAGGCTGTGGCTTTTCAGAATACTGCCCAAGTCAGAAATGGGAGTCCACAGACTACATGGAAATGGGTCCATTGAAATTCAGTGGCAAAATGTTAATCCTCACCCCTGGGTAAAGAGGAGATAAAGTGCTCCAATTTCCAACTTCATACATGCACACAAACGTGCACACACAAGAGAGGGGGGGAGAGAGGGAGGGAGAGAGAGAGAGAGAGAGAGAGAGAGAGAGAGAGAGAGAGAGAGAGAGAGAGAGAATAGCTGGCTGAGGAATTCTGGGAGTTGAAGTCCTCTGGTCTTAAATTTGCCAAGTTTGGAGATCCCTGTTCTAATGCACAGACAGAGTTATCCTATATAGCAGAAGAATTATTATTTTTCTTCCCTGGGAAAAATAAGATTTTATTTCTCTGGGAGAGGGAAAGAGAGTGAGAGTGAGTGAGTGAGAGAGAGAGAGAGAGAGAGAGAGACAGAGCGCACTCAGTAATGACTAGAAATCAGATCACCAAAATGTTTCTCCTTTTTCACTAAATGTTCATGATGTTATAATCACCAAAAGTAACAATAATCATGAGAGTAATAGTTAATCAGTAAATATTCAGCCTATTAAATTTATTAACCATTGATAAAAATTTTCCCATGTTTTAAAATATACTGAGTCTTCTTTCTCTTTAATCTCTAACGTTAGTCTATCCATTTCTGCACATTCTAAAATCTTCGTGATTATAATCTGGTCAGAGGGTAAGTTTTCATTTTTCCAAAACTGGGCAAATGCTATTCTCGCGGCTGTCAATGCAGGTAATATTAAGTATTCGTTTTCTTTTCCATAATTAAGTCCAAATATTCCTAGCAAGTACAATTCTGGTTTGTATTTATTTTCTTTATTTTCTGCCTTTACAGAAGTTGGAAGAAAGATTCCGATTCAACAGACGAGATCTCATTGGATTTGAATTTACTGTTCTCGTGGCTTTGGAGTTAGCCCTTTACCTTCCAGATAACCAGGTGTTACCTCACTTCCGTCGTCTCTCACAACAGTCCTAGTCAAAGCTATATTATAAAAAAAAAGCACCAATCCTTAGGTGGATTTGGGGACCGCCACCGGGCTTTTCCTAAGTGACAGGATTAAACTGTGTTAAGAATATTCCTGGCAAGGATTCGATGGTGGGATTTTCATGGAACTTCCAAAGTGGAAAAGACAATACAGAACTCACGTGTGAGAAGTGGCAGAAGTGGGGGGGTTTTGTTTGAGAAACTAAAGCACAAATAATTTGCGTCCACTTGCCACTAAAGTTGCTGATTAACTTTTTGGGGTTTTTTTTTTTTGGAAACAATCTCTTCTTCCTGCCTGGCTTTGCTCCTTTATCATTTCCTTACTCTCTTTTTTTCCCCTCTTCTTCAAACCTCAAAGAGCATCACTTCCATTCCTTTAATTAGTGTGTGTGAATATTCTCCTACATTTCGAACCATAAAAACTTGGGGAGGGGAAGAAGAAGGACGTGCCTAAGGCTGGGCTGGTACCAGTCTCTCTTTTTCTCTTTCTCGTTTTGAAAGTTCTGTTACTTAGTGGCAAATTCTGAACTTTATCCTTTTGCCTTTATTTACTTGTGCTGTAAGGGGGGGGGGGAAATATCCATCGTATCTGCACTATCATTTCTGGGAAGGTTGTCCATGTTGATTATTCAGTTTCGTTTTGTTTTTCACTGAAACATATTGTTGAAATATTGCACTTGTTGAACAAGGAGCCTGTAGCAAAACTGTCTTCATTTTAAAGTGTCCCTCAGAGTTTGAGTGAAACCATTGATTTCACGGCAGTAATTTTGACATGGCTTCCAGGACTTATCTCTTCCTGTTACTGCTTTCTGTAGCCTGAAAGTAATAACTGTTTTATTTATAACAAGGGGTTCATATATTGTCTTTCCTGTGCTACTGACATGTAAATGTCTCAGGCAGTACTGCTGTCATTACCTATATTAAGCCAATGAAACTCAGCATATCTAACTTCTGTAAAACATTTTCCTTAAAAAAAAAAAAAAAGAGGTTCTTCCAAGCTGTTCGTCACTGTGATGTTCTTCACGAACCTGATTTTTAACGGCACATTCAAACCGCCAAAATCTGATAAACGCCAATGTCTAAGTAATGTGCTGGGTAGATGCAGTTTTTATACACTTGGGACAATACATTGATTTAGATGCTAAAATATGAACTTTCTTCTTTCTACAAGAAGAGTCAGTGGCTGTCAGGTTTTATTTTTTTCCTAAGCAATATTGTGATATAAATCAAAGTGTTTGTGTAATATGTGTGACATTTGCCAGTGAACAAAATTACTATTTGGGTATTGTGATTAATGTCCACACTCATACTTTTTTTAGTGTAACTTTGGCCAGTTTTAGTGAGAGCAAAAAAAAAAAAGAGAGAGAGAAAGATCTTGCAAAATAAGAGGGCAGATAAAGGTGCATCAGTTTAGAATGTACTACTGCAGGTGTAAAATCACATTTTTAAGCACAGGTGCACTGCTATCATCATGACAACGTACAGTAAACAAAGCACACTTGGGAGAAGTTTAGAGAACAAATTTTCTCTGATAAGCTGTTTTATGATGGTGATTGCTGTTTAACAAAGGCACTTAAAAATACCACCACATGCCTGGTTGAATCTTAAATGATAGAATCAACTATTCTGGGCTGTAGAAACTGAGCCTCTCATTAAAATAGAGGGCTTTTAGTACCTAGATTGCCACAAATTTTAATTTGGGAATACATAGGCTTTGGGATGGAAAGTTGCAAAGGGGGTTAGAAACATCTGGAACGAAGGGAGAGAAGAATAGAAAAACCCAAGAACGCATTATTTAGCATGAAGAGTTTTGATTTATCCCTGACCTTCTTGCGCTTATGCATGAATGAACACTAGTTGGAAAAATATTTTTAATCCAAAGTCATCTTGTTATTGAAGTCTGAGCCAACCCAATTGAGAATGGCTTTCTAATCATGGCTTGGAAATTAATGCATCTCATTGTATTAATACCAGTCAAATCCTAATTGTAGCATTTCTTGATATAAGGTACAGTAGCTTAACACTTGCTCACAACCAAAAATGTGGCATGTTGCATTTCTTTATGGATTTTGACAGTGTAGGATGCCATCCCAGTTTTTCCCAGGAAACTTTAGAAATAATTGGGTGGGGGTGTTAAAAATCACCTGAACAGAAAGTGAGATTGTTTTTTACACTATTCTTCCAAACTTGTTAAACAGTACTAACTTAAGCACAGCTGACTTGACTAACTATAGTGTGTTCTGAAATATTTACCAACTTAGTTTTCCAAGTAAGGCAGGTGTTATCTTTTTTCAGGCAAATACAGTTGTCAGAAGGCTGCTTGAAAAGACTGTCATAATTAAACTCTGGAGAGAAAAAAATCCTTTGGAAAAACGTAAAGTTTAGTTAAAACGTTTACTGATACGCAGGCATTTGGACGAGTAAGTTTCTACTGCAGCTGGTTGCTGGTTTCCAGAGGCCGTTAATATAGCACAGGGTTCTTCCAACTTGGCTCTTTTATGATTTGTGGACTTCAACTCCCAGAATTCCTTAGCCAGCATGCCTGGCTAAGGAATTCTGGGAGTTGAAGTCCACAAGTCATAAAAGGGCCAAGTTGGAAGACCCCTGGTATAGCCTCTGAGAGTTGGGAAGCATATTTGGGTAGGAGAAGGCTATTCTCCTTGTAATACTTAAAAGCATGCTCACTCAAAACATCTTAAGGCATAAGGCAATGGTACGAGTTCACCTTTTCAAATAATAAAGTGGATTTATAATGACCAACGGTACAATTTTTAAAAGAAGTCTATTTTAGCACCAAGGGCCCACCTGTAAATCAGGGATTCTGATTTTCTCTCCCTCTTCCAATTATCTCTATACTTGCAAATTTGCAGTGGTCTATATATTGACAAAAGGCTTGTTCTGGTCTTTTATTAACATGGAAATATATTTTGGATGGAAGAGACTGAAAATCTTGCCTAATAGTCGAGACAGTGTTGCTTCAGGATTCAAAAGAATGAGGAATTGAGTATCATCATTTTTTTTAATTTTGACTTTGTACATTGAGTCACATAGAACCGTTCAACTATTGAATACTGTAGTGAATATGGAGAGTGTGATGTGTTTGTAATTTCATACCTTAATTTTTGGGGTTGATTCTCATTCACCTGAGACTCACTGTATTCCTTGTTCATGCAATATCTGCCACTGCGTGGTAACTATTATTATTACAACCAAACTTAGATCCAGTGTAAAATCCCAGTTTACTATCTTTGGAGTAAGATACTAATCTTTTGACAATTGAAGTTTAAATTATAGATTCTTATGTAAATAATGGTGCTTGTATACGTTCAGCCCAAGAAAACACTCCGAATTGGAGTTTGTATATTTTTCTGTTAGTAGATTTGTGTTGTCCTAAATTTAAATTTCTGCTTTGTATATTGTCTGACTTTGTTCTTCCAAATGAAATGAATGAATTTGTTAATAACGGAATGTTTGTGTAACTGAATGTTTTGATACCTATTTTATAACTTAGCACATCTGAATATATTTCAGGTTTGTGTCATAAATAACCCTTTAAAACATTGCGATGTGTCATTTTCTATTTCCTCCCTGCACAAAAGTCAGCCTGTGATTTTATGAACAACTGAATGTTAAATGCTAGAACAAATACTTTCTAGACATGCAGATTCCAAAGTTAGAATTTTATATATATGAGTCTGAATATTAAATAGACTGTGCATTAGTCATGTTTTACCAGTAAATATAATTATGCATCAAAACATAAGGGAAAAAGCAAGAGACAGATATTGCTAGTGATGTACATTATTTTATCTCTGTCTTTAAAGTATGTTTATATGTATATATATGTATATGTTTATATGTATATATAAACATACCTTAAAGACGGAAACAAAGTAATACATATTTATATTATACACACACACACACACACACACACACACACACGAAGAGGTTCAGGTTTAGCTTTACTTGAAATCTTTTATAGTTTTAGATTTTACCTCCTTATATTCTATAACTTTGTATTAGAATATTAAGCCATTAATATAAATACCATTTATATCATTAAGCTGATAAAGTACTATTAAGCTGATAAAACTGATTTCTTTGCTAGGATCTTTTGCAGTAAATAATGGGGTTTTAGAATAGGGCTACTGCTAATTTTTATCTGTCATACCGGTATTAAGTGTAATGTTGACTATGTAAGCAAAGTTTACTCAAGATTGCTGTTATAGTATTAGTTTGTTAGAACTGATTGTGTCAAAATCTTAAAACTACATATATTTCACAATACGTCTTTGATGTATAATATTAATAAGCTGGAAGAAAACATAGCTTATATGTAATAGTGACTTAGTTGTATATTCCTCTCTTGTAATCTGAACTGTCAGCAAGTTGACCCTTCTCATTAGTTGCACGAATAGGGGGAAAATCCATAAATAGCTGCTTACTACTGTTCCAATTATAACTATATACAGGTTACCTCTTTCAACAAATGCCCGTGTTTTAGTATCTGTTGATCAGTGATATATTAGACAATGAAAACCAGCCTTGGATAGTTATCAAAACAAAGTTGCAGAATCAATGAGCTTCAGTATAATCTCAAAGGGGTTGATCAAGATTTTTTTGTGGCATCTATATTTAGCTCATTTATTGACCTCTCTATCAGTGGCTACTTTTGCAGTAAAACTGGAACCTATTTGCAAGTAGATGGTAGGCTTCACACATCATAGTCTTCAGTGCATCTTATTGAAATTGTTCATAGATTATGACACAAAGAGTAACTGCAACAGTGCAGGCTGTTTTGGAACCTGCATACATTCAAGACGTGTTTCCAGAATTGAGAGCTTTGCCATAAAGACTAAAAAGCGGGAAACTACTGAACTATAATTCTCAGCACCCACAATTAAAATGGCGCATGCCACTGGATATTGGATTCTGTAGTTAAAATAGGAGAGACTTAAAAAATAGCCACGATTGGAGTAAAGGTGGTTACCATACAACTCAAATATGTACATTCTGGATACATTTCACCATATTTACCTGGTTTTAACTGAGAAATGTTAAATCACTGAATACCTATAGTTTGTGCTCACAGAGATGATAGGCCAATGAAGATTGCAGTAAGTCGGAATGGGTTGATTCTTGTTCAAATCATTCTAAGGGGGATGAGGATGAAAGTATGTTAGATCATCAAAAGGGGGAAGGATAACAAGAGCATAGTGCGGAGAGCTAGTCAGGGCTGTTTCATAAGATGAATTGCCATATAAGTCAAATAAATAAATTATAAAATGGAAGGATTCAGGTAAAGTTTCACTGTCCAGTTGTGTCTGACTCTACAACGTGGGGCTCATCTCCCATTTCTTGACGGAGGGAGCCAGCATTCTCTGAAGACATCTCCCTGGTTATGTGGCCAGCATGGCTATATGCCAAAGGCACATAGAATGCTGTTAACTTTCCACCAAACTGGTACCGATTAATCTACTTGCGTTTACATGCTTTCAGACTGCTAGGTGGGCTGGAGCTGAGGCAAGTAACAGGAGCTCACCCTGTCACGTGGCACTTGGGTCTTGAACCCAAGCTGTCAGCAAAAATTCAACAGGAAGGGCAAGGTATACTGAGTCTTGTATGCGTGACTCTTAAGTAGGTATAGTATCAAATTTCCAAAACCATCTCTAAGGATTACCTGATTTTAAAACTATCACTGGCGTTTATATTGATAGGGGTTATCTTGAGATGGGGGTGAATTGTGCATCTTCATCCTAGATTAAACTGAAAGCTGGATTGTAATGATCACAATTGTGTTTCCACCAAAACCAATATTGTTAATTGCAACTTTCTGAATTTTTCTCCAAATTAGAGAGGCCATCAAATGATACAAGATTAAAGGTTAGGCTGAATTTTTTCAGAAAGGACAATATTCTGTATAAAAGATATATTTACTAGCTCTAACATCAAGGCCTTTAACTTCCAGAGTACAAGGGCTTGAAATGTTTCTCCACAACTGTCCAGTGTAGTTTGCAGTGATATTCCATTTTGTTGTCTGGGGAAATGGCATATGCTGAATTCTTGCAATTTTGACTAGCTGTGTGTTGTTTTAACCATTTAGTCGTGTCCAACTCTGGGTGACTTTATAGGTAAGTGCTCTCCATGCTTCCCTGTCAAACACAGCTTCTTTCAATTGTTGCATGTTCAGGTTTGTATCCGATCAGCTATGTGTACCTAACCTAATTTAATTTGTCAAATCCGAAGAGCAAAGCATGCCCAGGAAGCAAATAGCAACAGCTTCAGCAAACCACAATGATGTCAAAATGACACATAGTAGCCTTTGTGTGATGTTATTTAAGCTTATTTTGTCATTTGCTCACCCCTTGCAAGTGCCAAGAAGGGCCTGGGGAATGAATTCAAGCAACTGTCATTTTCAGGTAGGTCAAGAGGAGAATGGGGCAGAGATGCAAAATAGCTTCTTGGTGTTGGTTGTTGGGCTTCACTTCCCATCAGCAAGACCTGAATTGGCAGGTTGAGTTCCCTTTCCATTTTGTGGTGCTGTGATCCATGCCAGACCCATCTGGCCCTAAGTAGTTCCATCACCATACAGCAGTGGAAGACCTGGCTGGCTTGGCAGTTCCTGGTGAAACCACTGCTTTACAAAGGAGCAATACCAACTGTCTTGTCAGGAAGCCAGATTTAGTGCTAAGGTGGAGGGCTGCCCAGAGTGAAGAGGAATCCTGTTGCTGTGCTACCTGATGCCCAACAGCCCAGGTGTCAAACTCGTCACATCACATGTCGTGTTGCAACATATTGCAATTTTTTTTACATTGCTGGAGCTGGGGTGGGCGCGGCCTCCGCATGATGCAACCGGCCTGCAGGCCTGCAGTTCAACACCCCTGCCCATCTTCTTTGCTGAGCTGGCAGAAGACACAAATACAAAATAACAGAGTTGAAAGGGAACTCTGAGGTCTTCTAGTCCAACCCCCTGCTCAAGCAGGAGACCCTAGACAAATGGTATAGGGTCCAGCCTCTTCTTAAAAAGCTCCAGTGATAGAGCACCCACAACTTCTGAAGGCAAGCCATTCCACTGGTTGATTGTTCTTGCTGTCAGGAAATTTCTCCTTAATTGTAGGTTGAATCTTTCTTTGATAGGTTTCCATCCGCTACTTCTTGTCCTGCCCTGAGGTGCTTTGGAGAATAGATGGATCCCCTCTTCTTTATGACAACCCCTCAAATACTGGAAGACAATCAACCCTAGTCCTTCTCTCCTTTATATTAGAGGTATCCATTTTGAAGTTTTGTGTGAATGGGAAAAGGAAGTAAATCCAACGATGTCTCGTAGTCTCTTATTCAAGACTTTCGACATGCTTCTTTTGATAAAATTTACCGTTGAACTCTTCATATCAGGCTTACAATAGCAAAAGAGGCCACAAATTATTAGATTCAGAATGTACTGTATAAGACAAGTTTCAAAATGAACAAGGAACTTGCGAATAGATTAGATTAACAGTGACAGAATTGGTCACAGATCTATCCACTGCATGGCTTGAATGACTACACAATAATCACAAAACTGCAAATAATAGCTTCCTGTGATGCTTTTGTTGCTACCTATATGCCATTATTATTTGAGATGGATGAAATAAGGAGCTGTAGTTTTGAGGTACTTCTTCATATATTTTAGTCTCCAGATCCCTAATCATCTTTGTGGTGCTCTTCCGCAGTTTCCAGGGTCTATCAGCATTTTTTTCTGTCGTGATGACCAAAATTGGATGCACTATTGCAGTGTGGTGAGCATCCGGGCTCAGCTGGCAGAATCCCAGAATAGTTTTCTGTTCTCCTAGGATGCCCTCCAACTGAAAGGCTGAGACTCCCCTCGTGCCCAATCATGGGCAGGGGGTTATGGGAGCTGAAGTTTTGAAGTCCAACCCAGTCTAGATGAGTGCTTTTTTCAAACTTGGCAACTTTAAGAATGGGTGGACTTCAAGTCCCAGAATTCCCTCAACCAGCATGAGGTCCTATGCTGTGCGCGCTTTTCTCTCCCCGCTGGGCGCTTCTGGATTCTCCTCAGGTCCACCAGCGCTCCCAAAAGCGCGCGCTCAGGTTGGGCATTCCCTCCCTGCAACAGGAGAAAGGCATGGGCGTGGCTAACGCCCCCTTCGCCCCGCCCTCAGGTAGCGCCCTTCCTTCTGTTCTCTGGGACGCCTTCCCGCCGCTTTCTCTCTCGCGTTCTGATGGCGTCATCTCCTACGCGCCGCTCCGTGACTTTCCTCCTCCCTTCGGCAGCGAGCTTTCGAGTCGCTTCGGAGTGACGCCCTCTTCCTTTTCCGGCTTGGGCTCGCGGCGTGTGTGGAGGTAAGGCGAGGCCTAGCCTGGTTCGCGGCGGCGCCTTTTTATTCTCGCTGCCTTCCCCGGGCCGGTCGGGCCACGGCGGGAAGGGGGTGGTGGTGCAGTGCGGGTGTTTCTAGGTTTACTGCAGTGCGGGGAAGGAAGAACGTGCCCGCGACCCTCCTCTCCCCAATGCTGCCTATGCAGAAAGCCAAGCCCCATTAGGAGGGTAGAGCCTAGGGTGGG